AGGTTCCATACCTGGAACAGTAATTGCTCCATTTACATAAAACATATCCATTAATTGCCTGAGTTTCTGTACTCCCTGACGAGCTCCCTGCCTCCACAGACCTCGCATGCCTCAGGCTTTATTTATAGGCTCCCCTGACCTTTTCATTACTCAGAGTCTCTCATGGATCCTGTCCTCTGTATGTTACCACATCACTTTTTCTTGTCCCGTCTGACATTTAATTTTTATTAACTGTGGTGTGAGGTAAAGCTGGTTTTCTTTGTTTTCCACACTGTGTTCTTCTCCTGTTCCCCAGGCCATAGAAGGTAATTCCACAATCACTTGGGAGAATTTTTTCCTTGACATTCTGAGATTTTCCAACAGGAGATGGAAGATTAAACCTGGGTTTAAGGTTAATAATGTCTCCCTGAGCCCATGAGAACTGTAAAGTGGGTTCATGAACACGAGCCTCACTGCTGACCTGCAAGGGTCTAAGTGTGGGTCAGTCTCCTGTACACACCAGAAAGTGAACACTGGTCACTGGAAAGCCCCTCTGCACCTCCTGGTTCTTGACTGGCTCTCATTCCAGTCAGTGCAAAAAGCAGGAGCATATGGTGGGATTTGAGTATGATGGAGACACGATGTAGTTTCTGGCTGTGCTTAACATGTTTACCACACCCTTTGCTGAGGAATCTCTTGTTACTCATTTAACTGAATAATCACATTAACTCAAACAGTTTAAGCAGAAAACATCCAGAAATATTTGTGAGAGACAGATAAAAAAATACTTCCATTAGCTGCTCTTCATTTGGGAGGTTCCTACCTATTAACAGCAGCCTTCGTTCACTCTTGGATGATGTTTTGTCTCCTGAATTTTACTGGCTAATTAAAAAATCCTTCTCTCAAAAAGATGAAATCCTCCCCATCTTTTTAGTGAGTCACAGTGAGTGTTCCAGTGAGAAGTGCCTCATGCTGAATTTATAGCCTGCATGAATCTGTATACAAACATGTTTGTACAAACATTTATTGGAATGGATCCATAGCTCAGTTCTGACACTAATGGACAGTAGAGAAGCATGAGCTAATGCCAAATCTCACTAAATTAAATCCTTTAATTCTGTTCAATAGAGCAGCTAAATTCCCAAGTGCTGGGAGGGAGAATTTCCAATGGCAGCCCTGGGATGAGTGGCTCTAAAGCAGAGCTCTCCATGGGCTCCAGCCCAGGGACCCTCAGGGGAACACAGCTGGCACAGCTGCCAGGGCAGGGCTGGAGGCTGGAGTTCCCATTCTGTGGCACTGGGGACATCATTTAGCGCTGGCCTGGGCTGCTGTTGCCAGGTGGCTGCTGTTGGACTTTATGGTCTTAGAAGGTTTTTCCAATTCTGTGGCTCTAAATACAAAGTTTTCTATGTGAATATTGATATAGTCTATTATGTACCGAGCAATAGTATTGTGCTACTATGTGTACAGGGGAATATCAGATGTCTGGAAGAATTAATGCATGTTCAAGGAGTTCTGCTTTGCAATGAGATTCAGCTGAGAGCTGTGTTCATTTATATACATTTAAGTAAAGCTTAGATTTTCTAATTTTTCATAAATCCTCTTTTGAAGGGAGGAAAACAATCAGGCTGTGCTTTTATAGGGTGAATTTAAAATTAAAATTAGACATTTAGGTGTCATTTCAGTTGTAAAGTAGCCCTTAGTCTGATGGTTGGAACAGGGTTTCCAATTATGTTTAATTTGTATGCACAGAGCTTGGTTAGACAAAGTATTAAGGATTCTTACTTGTTCATAATATTTCTGTCGTGTGCAGGGCTTTTCAACACCCTCACTAAATTAGTTCTTGGAAGCCCTTGTTCACTATAGTAACATAATCTATCCCACACATAGTAAAACAAACTGTTTGGCCTTTCAAATGAGAGGACCCCAATCTTAATAAATATTGAATTATAAAACCCCTGTGTGGGGAATACAAGCTAATTCTTTTCTCTTTGCACCAGCTGTGAGCTGCTCCATGTGATGTATGGCACAAACTCTCCAGGAAAGAGGAGCAAATTGAAAACACCACCCCTGTGGGTTCCCTTATTAGACTGGAAGTGACTGTGAAATTTGCAGGACACAGCTCATTAAAACAAGGCTAGCAATCTGTGACCCCTTGAGTGGGAAGAGGAGATCCATGCTGGAAAACAGGCTGTTGCTTTTATTGGGGGGAACTCAGCTAGGGAGGAGGAAAATGTGCGTGGCTGCCTGTTAACCCCCTCGTCACTAGAGCTCCTTACAAGGTGCATCCTCAGGAGGCTGGGGCAGCAGTGGCTCAGGCCCAGTTAGAAATGAAGGGATGGATTCCTGGTATTCCCCATCCCAGCTCCACACTCTCAGGGGTGTTTGTGCTGCTTGGGCACTGAATGGTACAATGGAAATATCAGTGCCTTGGTGTTTCATCAGAGTAGGAACTCAGCACAGCACGGGACCAAGGGCTACAGAGCTGCTTTTTCATTACTGAGATATTTAATTGGTATTAATTCAGTGATAATTGCAGTGGGGCCCCTGACCCAGGTGAGTGTATCAAGAGGAGCAGATTTTCACAAAATCCCAGCATGGGTCAGGCTGGATGGGACCTCAGAGGGTCACCAGGTCCCAGCTCCCTGCTCCATCAGGGCCATCCCAGAGCACAGGGCACAGGAGTGTGTCCCGATGGTTCTGGAGTATCCCCAGTGAGGAGACTCCACACCTTCCCAGGGCAGCCTGTTCAGGGCTGGGCACTGCCCAGGGCAGAAGTTCTGCCTCCTTTGCAGGGGGAATTGCTGGGCTCAGTCCCTGCTCATTCCTCTGGTGCCACTGCTGGCCCTGGAGCAGAGCCTGGCCCTGCTCTGCCCCTCCTGTGCCCAGGGACAGCCAGGGACACCCAGAAACACCCAGGGACACCAGGGACACTGAGGGACACCCAGGGACAGGGGCACCCAGGAACACCCAGGGACAGACAGGGACACCCAGGAACACCCAGGGACAGACAGGGACACCCAGGGCTGAAGGCTCCTCTCAGCTGGGGCTCCTCTCCAGGCTGAGCAGCCCCAGCTCCCTCAGCCTTTCCTGGGCATGGAGATGCTCCAAGCCCTTCCTGAGCTCCACAGCCTCCGCTGGCCCCACTCAGGAGGATCCAGAGCTGGACACAGCACTCCAGATGGGCTGGGCAGACAGGCAGGATCACTCCCTGACCTGCTGGCAGTGCTTCTCCCAGTACTTCCATGGATATACCATTGGCCTCCTTGGGCCCCAGGACAGACTAGCTCATGAACAGCTCCATTCCATCCTGGGCTGTCCCATGAAATGATGTCTTGGAGTACCTGGTGTTGAATTCCATCCTTCTGGCAGCTCAGAGCAGCATGCTCTGTGTTTGGAGAGCCACTGCTGCAGAGGAGCTGAGTTGGCTCTGTAAATCCACTCCCAGCACTGTCAGAAGCCAGACCAGATCCAGACTGCACAGCCAATCTCCCCTGCCCTCAGGCACAAGTCCTTAAATTTCCTCTGTGTGACTGTGCACTACCCAGGGTGCTCCCAGACCAGCCTGGTGCTGAATATGCAGCTATCGGTTGTTTGCTCTGAAGAAAAGAACAGGATCATTTACCCCCAAACTTACTCCAGGTTCTAACAAGTCCCATTTTCATGCCACCAGAAGCCAGGAAAAAATCGAGGCAACACCTTCTGCTAGAAAAAGCAGCTCTTGTAGTAGTTAAGTTCAATCCCTTAAGTGACCATCTAATTCTAGTCTGACATTTTCTGTAAGTGAATAAACCTGTATCTTAATTCTCCCCCTGTCAAAGATTAAATAATGCTACCTCAGCTTTTAACGTGATTGATCCAAAGAAAGACCATGTAAAAGGTAATCTTGTTGGAAATATTCACTGAAATAATACATTTGGGGAGGGCTCCCCCCATCCCTGCTGATGTGGAAGAGCTGGATTGTGGGAAGAGAAAAGCTGGGATGACAACACTTAAACTGATGTTGCTCTGCATGAGGGAGAGGAGTGGCTGAGTACAAAATGAGCTCAATAATTGTGAGATACATGCTCTGATGGCTTGGGAAAAGCAAATTCCCTTGAGGCAGATCCAGCTGGATTTCCAAAATGATCACTTGTCACAGATGAAGATTTTGGCCCTGCTCAGCATGACAGAGGAAAGAACCAAACCCCCTTATTTGTGACATGTGGGGGATTGGTAAACTTCCCTTGGATTTGGAACTTCCCTTTAGGAAGAGTGGGAAGTGGGGTGCAAAAAATGAAAATCTTAAAAATTTCTCATGCCTTTTGTGCCAATATTGCTGTCCTTTTTAGGGAGACGGGGATGGAGGGACACCTGACTTGAAGTGACAACAAGGAGAAGGCTTTATGATGTTGAACTTTGTGCTATTGTGGTAGTTGTCCATCACCTGAGTCTGAGTATCCTGTAGTCTCTGAACCATTTCATTTGTTTTTCAGTTGAAAATAAATTCTAAATTCTTCCTGCTGTAATTCTGTCATGGAAAAGCTGCCTTTTCCTCATCCAAATCAATTCAGTGATTCACTCCTTACACCGTCTGCTGATGGTTATGAGGCTGGAATTAAAGACTTTGTAAATGATTGAAAAACACAGACCTGGCTCCAAAGTGGTTTATTTTCATATCAGTGATTTTAGAAAGTGAATTTAAAAGTGCTGTCATTTTCCTTGTGTGCTGGGAGGCTGGAGAGAGGATTTTTTGGAATATTTGATCCGCACAAAGTGCAGATGAGAAGATTGCTGGATAGGTGGGCAGAAGGAAAGAGAGAAAGAAAATAGAGAAAGAAAACAAAGGCAAGAAGAAAGCCAGGAGAGCACAGGTTTATTTTTAGGAAGTGTTTATTCTTAGAGTGGGAAGTCACAGCCAGGCTGCATTCAGCAGGGCATCTAAACACAATGTTCTGACCTGCAGGTGCCCAGATACCCTTCCAGAGCCCCACACAACTCCAGCAGCTTTGGGTCATCCCAAGAGAAGTGGCTAATTGCTTTTTCACCTATGCTATTAATAACTGAGGTGGAAAGCAAAACTGATAGGTTTTAAATACTGGGATTGTTCCTTGAAGTCAAATTATATTGGGCGTATGCATTTGTTTCCATCCCAATTAAATCTGTGATCCTCTCACTTTGAATAGTGCACGTTCCAAAGATTAAGTAGAAAGTTACTGGAAAAACTCTGAACTGATAACGTATTTCTTACCTAATTGTCACTGAGATGGATGTTTTGGGAATATTTCCAAGACTACACTTGGTTTAGCAGCCACACTTGGAGCACAACTTGCTGAAGCTTTAGGAAGTGGTGAAGGACAGGGATGTTTCCTGCATGGCAACCCTAAAGACTCTGGGATGAGCTGACCCAGCCTGGCTCCCATGATCCCAGTGATTGCACAGGGAATCTTTAGCACTCTGTAAAGTTTGTTCAATAATTAAGTTACTCGTCTGGGACTGTGAGTCTTAAACTTCCTGAATTGTTGGGCATTTGCCGGTGGATATTTTGGACCCCTTGCTGGAAGCTCCTTGTGCTCCCAATGGAGAATTGCAGGAAGGTTCCAGATGGGATGCAGTATTTCATGCCCCGGCTGAGAGGATGCTCTTCTTGACGGCTTCCACTCCCAACCGGCTCCAAGGAGAGAAGGGATAATCAGCTGAAGGAGTGAAGATACCCTCCCTTGCCCTTCTCCCTCCTGTCCCCTCCAGAGCCACAAGTGCTGACAGCAACTCTGGTTCCTATTTGTTTTCCCGTTCCTATCGGAGCCCAGGGCTGGCCAGGGCAGGGATCCTTTCACGCCGATCCGCCAGGTCCTTGAGGGGTGTGAAGAGTAAACGAGGTGTGAACAACACATCAAGTGGGCAGCACTGGGAAGAGGAGCCGTGAAAGCATTTGCTCCGTAAAAATAGAACGGGGCTGTTGGCAGCAAGAGGTGTCTGGAACAGATAAAGCCGGCAGTGAGTGATGGGAGCTGGGGTTGTTTTATTAACGCAGCAGTCTGAGCTGCTTGACCTTACGAGAGAGGAGGGAGTTGGGCAGGACAGGTGAGCTTGTAATTTGTTCTTTAGTGCTGGAAGAATTGCACCTCTCCTGATTCTGTATGGAACAGCCGACAGTAGTTTTTAACCCCGGATCATCACCTCACCTCTCAGCTGGAACGGGCAACACACGGTAGATTAACACCTAGCAAAGATCCCATGGAAAACGCGAGCTGCACTCCAGTTTGATTTAATGGGCTTTACTGTGGAGGAGCTGCAGCTCTGGAGTCCCTCTGGAGCCCCCAGCATCCATCCAGCCATTCTACTTTGATGGTCCCTGGGCACTGGGAAGCTTGTCTATGTGCTTGGATTTGTGGATGTTCCTCTCAGGTGAAATATTTATAAATCAAGGGGAATTTTTCTGACTAAACAATAAATTGCAGCATGGGTTTGCTATGAACATCCCTCATGTACAACTGTCATAGCACAGCACTGCCTTCAATCCAGGGAACTCATCCATCCCCATCCCACAGAGATCAGCATATTAGTAGCAGAAAGTGATTTACCAGACAAGTCCCAGTTCCTGCCGGTATTATTCCATGATTTATGGCCCATCTGATGTGGCTGTAGCTGGAGTACAAGACAGAAGCTGTTTTGCAACACAAACAAAGGGTATTAGACTAACAGATCTGATATTGAAAGATGGGTATCTCTTTGCATGGCAGCTCCTTGGCCTGCTGTTTATTTGCTGTCTCACTCAGCTCCAGCTCTAGCCTTGCTTCTCTGCTGCCAGAAAGGCTACAGCATAAAATGGAATTTCAGGTATTGACAATTGTGGGTTGTGTCACTTTGGAACAAACTGCAGTTGCTGGAAGGGCCACCAGGGATGGGGAGGGACAGCAAAAGGGAGCTCAGCACTCAAACCTGTGAGGCTTTCCCCACTGGCTCCAAGATTTCAGGTTTGGCCTGATGGGAGCAACAACTCTGAGTGAGATTTCAGCCACTCTGTGGCTTTTAAAGGCATTCATAGAGCATCTAAATTTAGAGCACTGCACTTTTGCTTCGTTAAGAATTCTACTTCAGATGCAGACAGACCCCATGGAATCTGCCCCTGGAGCAGCCCCACACAGCACTCTGCTGCTGCACGGATTAACAGGAGCTCTCACTCCTCAAAGGCCTCCTCTCACTCTCAGCTACTCACAGCTTGAGGTCTTCTTCACATTCCTCCTCCTTTTTGCACCTTGAACCTCAGCTGACCCCTGTTCTTTAGATGTCATAGGGCAAATGCTGCTCAGCTGAAGCCACTGGAACAAGAGCTGGTTTAGGCTATAACTGAATGAGGAGGCCTGGTGTGAGAGCCTGCAGAGGAAAGAAACTCATTTGAACATCACTGGTGTTTGAATTGTCCTTCTGTGCCATCCTGGGGAGAGCAGATAGATAAATTCAGGGGTTTCTTAGAGATCTCATGGAAGGTGAGACTCAGGTGCTGAAATCAGGCTTCAAACAGCACTGCAAAGAGTTGAAATCAGGCACCCCTCTTCTGGACACCTCATCCCAGCTTTGGGCACTGAGCCTCTCACTTAGAGGACTTTGGATGCTGCCAGGTGTCCTGCTGGTGGATCATGTTACCCAGAGGCCAGCAGATGCCCTGGGGCAATGAGCTGAAACTTCAGGAAAGGCAGGTAGTGGTGTGACAGATGGAACCTTGGCCCAAAGCTTAGAAATAATGAGAATTAAAAGTGTGTCACCAGGGAAAAGCATGATCAAATGCTTTAAAACACAATATATTACTCTTCCCCCCAGCACTTTAGCAGTATACATGCTTAATGCCTCTTTTTTGCCTTTTTTAAGGGAAAGAATGCCTCAGTGCAGACTTACCTAAACAGCTTGGGACTTTTTTAGCACTTGATTATTCTAAAATACTGAGGGTTTGTGGCACTTGAGCAGATGGACTTGAACTCCCTGGTTTGCATCTTGATGGTTTTTGTCTTTTGCCTGATTTGTTAAAGGCAGAGGGATTGTTAGGCTAGAGGCATCTCTGTCATCTCTCCAGAGATGGTGCATGTGCCTGTTTTCCATGGAATGCAGAGCAGGAAATAGTTAACAAATTGCTCCCAGCTCTGCAGTGTGAGAGAGCAGGTTAAGAGGTTTGGGGGGAGAAGAAGCCCAGAAAACTAGAGCATCACTCTCAGCAGCAGCCAAGGGCAGAGCTCTTCAAGTCTCCTGTCAGAGCCTGATCCTGGGGCAGTCAGGCTCACTCTATTCTCCAGAGCCTCGTGTGGTTTGAGGGCTCCACCGACCTTCCTCACTCTCCCTTTCAGCTTGAAAATCCTCACCGAGGAGCTCTGACAAATTTGGGGAGATAATTTGGTCTAAGGCTTGCAAAAGCACCTGTCTGGCCTCCTCAAAGCAAGAAACCTCCCTGGTTTAGAAATGATTCTAGGGCTGTTTGGAGCCCTGGCCACTTGGAAGTTTCCTACAAAGCAAGAGACTTTCCTTGCTCTGGGTATCACCTGTGGAGCCTGACCAACCAGGCAGCTGGGGCGTGGGGCTGGAGAGCTGCAGAGGGGCCACAGGGCTGTGCAGCAGCCAGGAAGGTGCTGCTCATCAACTAACACAGCTTGGCTTCCTGCCAGGAAAGGGTCAACGGGGATGTTTGTTGGGACCCTCCCCTCTGGTGCCTTGGTTTCTCCTTTGGTGTTGAATGGGAAATCTCCCTCTCAGCTCTTCTGTGACTTCACTGATGCTGATGAAATGGTAATGCTTGAGAAGGGTCATTGCTGGAGGTCTGTTCTTGGTTAGTTTTCTCCTTGGGGCCATGGGCTGTGAAGGAAGATTTCCCTGCTGCTCTCCCGTGGTATTTTGTCATAGCTCATCACGTCCCCTCTGCTCGGCAGCTTTTCCCTGGGGATCTCCCAGCTTCTGCTTTTCCCTGCATGGGAATGCAGGGAAAGAATGGCTGTGATTTAAGAGCAGAGCACTCAGAGCCACAAAAGCACTGGAGATTCAAAGCCTCACTCACCTGTGCTCCCAGGGCACTTGCTGAGTCTCAGCTGTCTGTTCCTGAATACAATTGTGCCTGCAAAGAACCCATCTGAGCATTGTACAGCACGGGGCAGACTTTTAAGTCCTTTTTTTTTCCTTTTGTTCCTGTAACCAAGGTCTTTCTCTCCTTGATTTATGGATTTGGACCCCATCTTTAATTCTTTGCCCTGAAAAGCTGCCTGAAGCAGGGCTCAGCAGGAGTCAGACAGAGGCACAGCAGCGTTCCATGGGAATGACCATTCCCATGTGTGTGTGAGGGGCACAGCTCTTTGGGGTACTTGGATGTGCTGGGCAAGCTCACAGGCTCCAGCACCTCAGGTGCTTGTCCACCCCATCCCCCTGCTCCACAGGGCACACAGGGACTGTCACAAGGCCCACTATAGACACAGAACATTCCAGCAAAGCAAATCACCCTGGATGTGATGCCTAAAGGCATTTTCAGTGCTGGGAAATAAGGGCTCATTTATTCCTTTCAAGATTTCTGCTCCAGGATGAATAGCAGTGATGAAAATCTGCCACAGAGCAGGCAGGTCTGCCCAGTCACCCTTGCACTGCTTGGCAAGACCTGTTTGGGTCTGGGAGCTCAGATTTCCCTGTCTCAAGATTCTTTGAAAGGCTTTGCCTTGATTGCACTTCCATCCACTTGAGATAAATAATTTTGTTACCAGTCCACAGCAAAGCCTGAGCCTCCACAGCTTCACAGCAGCAGCGCTGGAACTCCCAGTGCTCACACAGGATGGGGGACCCAGAGCAGCTGTGGCTGCCCCTGGATCCCTGGAAGTGTCCAAGGCCAGGCTGGATGGGGCTTGGAGCAGCCTGGGACAGGGGAAGGTGTCCCTGCCCATGGCAGGGGGTGGAATGAGATGGGCTTTAGAGCCCTTCTAACCCAACCAGCTCTGGGACTCTGTGATTCTCTTCCCCTGACTCTAGGGATCATCCTATGCTGTGCATGGTGGGATGCAAAACCGGAGCTTCTTCCTCTATGGCTAAATCCTGTCTCAGGTGCCTTAAATCATTTCTTCCCCAGAAAAGCTTACAACAGCTTTCTGCTGGAAGGGGGATGGTTGTCAAAGCCTCAGGAAACCCCTTTGATGTGGGGCAGGCAGCTGGGAGAGGTGGTAATGAGGTGCTGGGAGAACTTCAATCACCAGGGAGGGAGAGCAGCAGTTCTGAAGCTGCCCGAGCAGCAGGGCCCCTGTGCTGACACACCACAGGGTGAGGGGATGGCTGATTAAAGCTTGCAGGCCTCCAGTGCTTTAGGGACAGACTAATTCTGTGGCTCTGAACAGAATTTCTGGATTTGCAAATTTATGGAAACACTTTTTTTGGTCAGCAATGGAGGGAGCAAACAGGTATTCAGTTATCAGATTATATTTTTGTGTCCACCTCACTCCAAGGTGAGGTCTCTCTGCCTGCAGGCTGCTTAAATTGAGAATTCTCTGAGGTAGGATTTCAGCCCTTCTCTTGCAGGGCTCAGAATAGAAAGGGATTTCAGCCCCGAGTGGAGTGCCCTGATAGCGTGGTTATAAATACAGTGCTGGTGGCAGTACTCTCTGCTGAGGGGCTTGGTGCCAGGCACGGCAAGTGAGGGCCTGACTGAAGCTCAGCAGCAAAGAACAGACCTGTGGATTGCAGACAGTCCTCTCGTTGGCATCAGGGTCACCTCCCTCGTGCTGCCATCACAGGCACCTCTGAGGCCATTGCTCAGGGACACACGTGGCAGTGCTGGATTAGGGCCCTGTTCCGAGCTGTTTCCCAGCTGGAGACGTGCAGGGATAGTCAGTGCTGTCCCTGGGATGTGTCACCCAGTGCAGCTCCACAGCTGAGGCACCTCCTGACATTTACCCTGACCCTTCCCACCTTTGCTTTCCCCAGAAATGCTGCTGCTGCTCTTTGTTCCCAGGACCATGGGCTGAGTTGTGTGTCCTGCTGCTGCCAGCCCTGTGCTCCAGGGACACTGAGACCTGGCTGTGACAGCTGAGCCTTCCTGGGAATGAAGTTAAGGGTGAGTTATGGGATGGTGAGTGCTTTACCCACAGCATCCATCTGGACAAAACCTCTGCCTTCTGAGAGCTGCTGTGAGACACGAACACTCTGAATTCCGAATTCCTCATTCCCCATCCAGATTCCTCCCTCCAAAGCCCTGCCAAAATCACGAAGGCAGGAACGCTCACGTCCTTTGCTGAATAAGGCAGAGCTGAACTTTGGCCTGGGCTAAGCCTCCAAAGCCTGACTGCAAATGACAAATACAGATTGTGTGCCAGACAGATTTTTATCTTTTCCTAACTAAAGTACTGCTGGTAACTCCAAAGTACTGGAAGGAATTTTCCCTGCTGAAAGTGTGGACACTGGGGAGGATAACAAAGTGTGTTTGTGTGGCTTGGGCTGCTACTTAACTTGAGAAGAGACTACAGCTTCCCATTAGAAAGTACCATTTTACCTTTTTATTGTTTTTTAATAAAACCATTTCTTCCCAAAAGAGAAGAGAATTGCCTTTTTCCTAAGTGGACATTTTCATGAAAAAATAATCCCCGAGTTTTCATTACAGTCTTGAAGGAGAACTTGAAAATACAATATGCTTGTTTCTTCCCCTGGCACTCTGCAAAAGAGAAAAATAGAAGAAAAAGACAGCAAATGTGAATTCTTAACACACATTTCTGTGGACAGAGTGGAAACATATAAATCTTGCTTGGTTTTGAGATGCTATGAACTGAGTTGGCATTTTCCACAGTCTCATAAACTCCACTGGAGGATTATTTGGGGTGGATTTCAGCTATATGCCCCAAAACCCAGAGTTACCAAGTGGGAGCAATGTGGTTTTGCTCCCAGGTACCTCCCCAGGCTCTCAGGAGGACTCTCTCTAGGTGCTGAGAGAGCAGAGGTCTGGGGTCCTTCTTTCGTGTTTTCCTGGAGTGAAAAGTGTGGGTTGAACTTGGTTTTGCTCTGGGAGGAAATAGCTTTGGTTTGGCTGGAGGGGCTGAAATCTCCTGATGCACATGGGGGGCTTCTCCTTGACTTCTCTGTGGCTTTGGGCGAGGGAGGGACAGGCTCAGGTTCCGTGCTGCCTCCCACCCTGCTTCCCCGAGGAAAGGAGCAGGAGGGGAGGAAACTGGAAGGAGTTTGATTGCTCCCCCAATGTGTATGTGGAAAAAAACAAATCTAGCTTCCTTCTGAGGGCCTCACCGTGTGCACAATTACTTTCTGTAGGGTGCCCAGTGCTGATGTCTTTCTTGAGGTGGGATTTGTGCACTTGGAGTGGCTGTCTGGGAGTCTGTGCTTGCTTTAAGGTCTGGCTGTGGTGCCAGTGTTGGTGTGAAGGACGAGTGCACCAGGCAGTGACCAAGCTGTGTCTTTGTCAAGAGGTGCTTTTTGCTTTGCTGAGCACAGAAATGTGGACAGTCTAACTCAGTTCCATCTTGCTCTATTCTTGCTAAAGCCCCTTTTGCCCCCACCCCCCTAAAGGTTCCATTCCTTGGTCACAACAGCAGCATAACCTGGTGTTCCAGGGTGTTGTGTTCCAAAGTATTCCATGGGTGGCTGGTGCCACTTTCCACTTGTACTGAAGCACAGAACAGGCAGGTAATGGGATAAATGTAAAAAATGGGTTTGTATGGGAACTTGCTGGGTCTGAGAACTTTTTACAAACCTTATGTTGAGCTCTCTGACATCATCCTCAGCTGCTGACAAGGCTGTGATAGCACAAAAAAGCAGGAATTCCTTGTTGGCTACAAGAAGATTCCAGCCCAAAGAGTTAGTGAGGTATTGTCTACCTTGCCCTTAGACCTGCCTAGGGCCCACTGGTCCTCCCTGACCCATCTCTGAGGGGGAAACTGAGGCACAGGGGGAAACTGAGCTCCCAGGGCTTGCAAATCCCCTTCATCTGCAGGCAGAAAAACTTTGCTGGAAACTGCAGCACTTCTGGAGAAAGATGCTGGTGGCAGAGTGGGTTCTTCTCCTGGCATTGAAGTGGCTTGTGGGGTTTCTGCTCCCCTTTGGCACCACAAGGCCAGTACCTTTCCAAGGCTGTGCCTCCTGCTTGACCCACTGGATTCTCTGGATACCTGGAACTGTTGTCTCTTCTCTCCCCTCCCAAATTCACTAAAAAGCTGCTTTTCATGCTGCCTGAAATCCCTGACACAGGAGAATTTCCACCCTGCTGGAATCATTAACCTTCCTACCTTTCCAGTATTTGCAGCTAATGGGTAATGTATTTGTTGTTTTAGTGATTGTTTTGCTTCTCCAACTATTAATTATTCAGAGAGGCTCTGGGACTGCCACCTCTCTTGGTGTATGGGCAGAGCCTTCCCTGCACCTCAGCAGGGCTCTCAGAGAGCATCAGGTCAGGCCAGCCAGACATCACAGCATTGGGTGCTCCTTGTTGGGAATTTAGGGTTAAAGCTCACCCCACCCCAGTTCGGGGCAAGGAGCAGAGGTTCCCCACACCCTCCCTCCCAGAGAGGGGCACAGGGAGGCAGCTCAGTGCTGGCACACATGGCGCTTCTCCTGCCCAGGAACAGGGAGCTGTGGGCTTTGGGACTGACTTGTGCAGTCCCACAGGGACACTGAGTAGGTCAAGCACAGATATCTGAAGTGCCAGGAATTCACCTGTGGAAGACAAAGAAAGATCTGCTGTGCTGGGCTGAGCATGTGCTCCCTCCCCACCACTCAGCAGGGCTCAAGTGCCTCCGGGGACCTTTTCTCCAGCCCCAAAGTGAGATCATTTGTGTGTTCAGGAGGCACCAAACTCCTCTCCTGACAGCACAAACACTCAGAGTCACCAGGAACAGGCAATACCTACCCTGGGATCTCGGGAAAGTTAGCAGCAGGGTTGCTGTGCCACGAGGTTGTGTTGTGGAAAATCCTTTCAGGTTGCTCACAGTGCAGTAAGGAAGGGTTTCCAGCCATGAAGGGGAACTGAATTCTTTTTGTGTGGAGATTAATTTGCTGCCTCAGCCACTGATTGGGTGAAAAAGCAGCTGAGGATGCAGCAGTCCAGCTGTTAATGTGTTTATTGGGATGAATAGTGTGCTGGGAGCATTCTTGGAGTGGTGGTTTCTATTTCTTTGCAGAAGGCACAAAACACAGCAGCAGGATTTAGAGGTGTGGAGCCCCTGGTTAAACCCAGAGACAAGCCTGTGTTTCTATAAAGCTGTATTTGATTGCAGGACACAATGGAGGTGTCTGTCACATAAACAAGCAGCATTTTAGTCTCGCTTAAAGCTGCCCCATGATGCTGTGGAGCTCCTTGTGTTCTTTCATGCTCAGCCTTCCCACTTCCTTACCTATTTCCAATCTGCAGACTTCTCACTGCTCACCTGTTTCTCCTTACAGATTTATTATTTGCATTTCTTGTTCCATAGTACTGGACCACTCTGTTTTCCTGGCTTCCCTTACCTGAATTCCCCAACTCCCACTCTGTCTCTGCCATAGTTGTGCTCCCTGCCCCATTTCCTTTTCCTGGACACTCTGCTCAAATGTTTCCAGTTTCCTCCCTTTCTTCCTCATGTTCTGAAGCTTCTCATCAAATCCTGTGTTTTCCCACCCCCAAAGGCTCTCTTCTCCTGCTCTCCCTTTGTGGTGTCCCTTTTTCCCCCTGCTCCCATCAGGTGAGGGCGGCCCAGAGGGGACATTGCAGGAGATGCTGCTCCCTAGGGAAGGTGGGGGTTTGGCACTGCTATTGGAAAGGGAGAAATATGGTGCTATTTTAGAGCCTTAAAGGCAAATGCTGCTTCAGGTGCATTGTTTAGATGACAAGGCAGACCAGGATGTGCTTGGATGCAAACTGGAATCCAGTTGGTATTTTTCCATATTCCAAGAGATATGATGGATATTCATCAAAGCTGAGGCTTTGCTGGAGAACCCTGTTGTACTGCCTGCATATGTTGGGCAATATTTCCTGTGGCTCCACAGTTAAGTTTTTATGGAAGCCTCGTTCTGTTTGCTGTAGCTGTAGTTGGGTTATAAATTAATAATCCCTGCTGCTGGGACTGCTGTGTAGCAAGATGGCTTTGCCGAATGTGTGTGTAAATAATTCATGCCACTAAATTCGTTGTGTTCCCTGCCCACAGCTCATTTACCTGCTGTGACTACAAATATTCCTCTGCACGCTGGAGAAGGTGTTGGGAGATGCCAGGCGTGAGAGGTCTGTCAGAAAGAGGCTCTTCCCCTGGTTAAATGGATCAGAAACTCCTGGGACAGGGAGTGCCAGGAAAGTCTGGTTTGTAAACATGACAGAGTGAAGATTTCACCTTGGGTTTGGAGACCATGGTGAGGTCCAGGCTATGGGAGATGGGCTTCCCAGGCACATCCATGCTGGGTATCAGGAGGAATTTTTTCATGGAAAGGGCTGCCCAGGGAGGTTTGGAGTCCCCATCTCTGGAGGTGTACTAGGAAGGCCTGGATGTAGCACTCAGTGCCCTGGGCTGGGGACAAGGTGGGGATTTGGCACAGCTTGGACTCGATCCTGGAGGGCTTTTCCAACCTCAGTGATCCAGTGATCACAGCTCTGCCTCCTTTCCAAGCTCTCTCTCTTTGTTTATAGCTCTTCTAGAACTAACAATTGGAATTCTTCCCTGCTTCACATGCAAATTCCATGGGGTTTCCAAAGTATTTTCTTTATTTACATTCCCTGTGTTTCCTTGGAAAACAGCTCCCACAGAAGCAGAAAAGAGTCCTTTCCAGCCTCAGGCATCACCATTCTGTGCTGCAGTGAGCAGAGGAAGCTAATGACACAAGTCCTACACAGATAAAGATAAAAAGAGTATAAAATAAAATAAAAAATAATATATTATTGAGTCTAAAAGTTATTTCCAGAGTTCTTATGCACGGTCTCTAAAGTATTTGCATATTTGTAGAAATTTTAGGAAACCCGATGTTTCCAAGAGCTTTGATTTTGTTTTATTACTCCTGTATTTGCAGATCATTTCAGACCACACTGGTAATGCTTTTGCTGTTGTGATGTTATCAATTCTGGTTTGTTTTCCCTCGGCCTTGCTGCTGCTCTCATCTGCATGTGATGATCCAGGGCAAGACTTGAGGGAATCCAGGGAAGACCGTGCTGGAATAGCTTCCATCTTCTCCTCACACACCAGAAACCTGATCCTCTGACAGTAAGTAATATTTATGTGCTTCTATGCATCATACATAACCTGTAAAATTGTGTTATTGTCAAGTTACCATCATATATTATCTAGAAGCTGCTTTAAAAGTTTGGTTTAGCTTTATGTATAAATATTGATGAGCAATATGAAGCATGTTTTTCTGCAGAAAATACTTATATCAGACTCAAATTTATCTGGAAAAGATGTTATCCCTTATGTTCCTGCTGAAGTCTACTTAGGAGACAGCCTGAGCAAGGCTGTGTCTGTATAAATAACAAGGACTATTAGTTTGGGACCAATTTATTCACTGAAAAGGCTCCTGAAGAAATGCACCAGCATATTGGTAATCACTGCAAAGGGTTTGGGTGATGTTTATTGGGACTGAAGACAAGTGTTTGGGATGGAAGGAAGCAGGAAGGAAGTCCTGAGACAGATTTACCTGCCTGAGGTTAACAAGTCCTGAGGCTTCTTAACTTTGAAGTAACTTCGTGTCCTTAAAGTTTTTATGAGGGAAGTTTCACTGCTGTTTGTATTGGTTAAAAGCAGGTTTCTATTTATCTTGGAAAAAGATTTTTAAATTGTGAAGGAACAAGTGACATTTTGATTCAAAGTTTGGCACTTGGCAATTAACCTGTTTGTTCTGGTTAAGTTTTATGCTGGGATTGATAAGTGATGTCCAGCATGCCTGGCCAATGCAGAAAGACTGGGAAAGTGTCACTGCAGGACAACACCTCCTGTCCCAGTCAGTCAGCTGGGAGCTGAGTTGGAAGGAGGCAAAGCAGCTACTCCTAAACAGGAAAATTTGCTTTAATATCTCCTTTTAAAGCTGCTGCAAAGGAGCTGTGAATGTTTTATTGCAACCCTGCAGGCAGACAGGAGTGACCCCTGCCCTGAGGAGCATTGCTGCCCTGGCTGGGTTTGGGATTTTGGAGGCTCCCCCAGCCCAGCACTCTGTGTGATTGCACAGAACATGGGGCATAATGGAACATGAAGTACTGTGCTCTTCCCTAACCTATTTACATTACTTCATTATCATTGAATTTTAATGAGCATGTCAGGATTGGAGAGGGAAATATAATCTAATATTAAGGAATGTACTTCTGGAGCAATGAAGCTGTGAGATAAAAAATAGGGTTTAGACAGGCAAATGAACTGATGTACTAGGGAGAGAAATGATCACATCCTTATTCTTCCCCCAAAATCAAGTTAAAATTCTTCCCACAACTTAATGTTGTGGCAATATTCAAACATCCCAACCAATATATTTTGTAGGGATTGAAAGGAATAGCAAAGCCAAAGGTGATGGAAATAACTGGATGATGCAGTGGACAGGAGTCAGTTGGGACTGAGATGTCCATAACCCTAAAATGCATTGATCAAATGCATGAATGTATCTCACTATCCCAGATTATTTGCCTTGAAATGGAAGCAACTTAATCTTTAAAAAAAATAATGAAAGAGCAAACTGTAAATGAGACCTTCTGGCAGCAGGACAGGCTGTGGTCCCAGAGGCAGCAGCACAGGCCAGGATGACAAATGAGGTCATTAAAGTAAATACTGTAAATTGAGTTTTGGCAGTGGGAAGGAATCCTTATTATGATGAAGGGCAATAATATGGGAAGAAGAAAAGGGGGAGGAGGAATTCACTGGTGACAGGCTTATCAGGGGCAGGGAGCAGTGTAATCCTGTGGCTGCTCCAGCTGCCTCCCTCATTGCAAGGCAAGGAGTCCATTTAATTTCACAGGGTTTTCAGCAGGGCAGGGTTTTGAAGTGCATTAGAGATTTGAAAGTGTCATCTCTTCAAACAGCATCCAGGAGGCTGCTGAACCAAAGCCTGGCATTCTTTACTCATTTGGTTTCGTCACTGACATCACATTTGCAGCACAATTACACTTTGCCTGCTGATTTTTCATTTTTAAAGAGTTTCTTAATATGAGTGTTTAAAACCTGAACACTTGGTTACCTCTGGATAGGCTTTGATTATGGGAAGTGCAAAATATGGTGTTAAAGGGCTGTGGCAGCCAGTTCCCACTGTCTGACCAGACAGGGAATTCTGGCCTCTAAATCTGGGCTTCTTTAGGTGCTGGTGACAGCCAAGTTGATTATCCTGCTCAGATTAACAGGGAGTTGATACAGTCCTTAAGGTCATAGGGACTTTTTAAAGTTTCTGGGCTTCTTGAAAGCTGCTGTGAGAACCAGTGGCTAATTCAGAATCCTCTGTGCAAAGCTGTTTTTTCTCATTCAGTGATACTCAATAAACCCTTGTTCTTGTAAGAGCAGATGTAACTGGCAAGTTTGGGCATTGCCCTGGGAATCTTGAGCCCTGAGCATCACTGTCCTCTGGCCTTTTTGTGGCCACTCTGATGGCATTAGTGATACTTACACTGGGTAAAGGTACCTTACAGGATGTTGCTAATTAGATAAAAGTTCACATGGTCCTATTAGTACACTAAAGTTCTGTGGCTTTCATTCTCTGAGGTTCAGTTCCTGTGCTCATCCTACTGTGAGGGTAAATCACTTGTGAAAAGCAGTTTGAATTAATGAAAAACAGATTTTGGCTTCAACGAGATTGTCTTTGAGGTCCCTTCCAACCCAAAGTCTGTGCCTAGGGCAGGTTTTCCTACACTCTTCTGAGCTATCAAAGAGGGCTCTGAGGCATGCAAAGGCATGGAAATGCACTTTTCCTGTTGTGCTTGCAAAGGCAGATTTATCTCTAAGAGTAACTCTTATTCTTTCACAACATTCCTTGAAAAAATGAAAACCCAACCAAAACCAAACAGAAATTTCCTCCCTTTCCCTTGGAAATGCTGTTTTCTGTTGAGCCCATCATGGTATGGTAATAGAAATTTGCACGGGCTGTTGAAAGGAATGAGCTCCAAAGCTGCTGGGAATGGCACTGAGCTGTGGCAGGAGGGAAGGAGAAGGCTTAGGGACAGTTCAGGGTATTTGCATCAACAAACACTGCTGGGGCTGGAGCTGAGAATTTGAAAAAGTAGATTTCACACCAGCATCTCTGTGAGTGCAGCAGGATGGAGGAACACTTCCACAGGGTTTTGTGACACACAATTGGAAGAATTGCTGCAGAATGGATGGGGGATGAGCAGGGAAATGGGATGTGAAGGAGCTCAAGTAGCACTTGAAATCATGGCAGTCCAGACAGAGGAGAGAGCCGCACCAGGGAGTTTTGCAAGACCTCTAAAATCAGTGTTCACATAAAGACATGGAAGGACTGTTGTGTTAGGCTGGATTTAGGGAAAGGTTCTTCCCCCAGAGGTGCTGGCACTGCCCAGGCTCCCCAGGGAATGGGCACAGCCCCGAGGCTGCCAGAGCTCCAGGAGCCTTTGGACAGAGCTCCAGGGGTGCCCAGGGTGGGTGTCTGGGCAGGGCCAGGGGCTGGGCTGGGTGATCCCTGTGGGTCCAACTCAGGATATTCCCGGATCATGTGACAGGATCTTTCCAGACCCCTCTGGCATTTGGGATTACATCGGTCCCAGCTGCTTTCTTTGGCTCCTGCCTTGCAGCCACACCCTGCATGTGCCTGGCCAGGGCCAGCACTGGGGGACTCCCAGGTGTCACACGGATTTGGGAACACTCCACCAAGCTGCTTCACCCCCCTGCACTTGGGTTTTCCCTGTAAAACTCTAATATCAGGCAAAGGCAGCCTGTTCTGCCAGAGTCCAGGGAAGCATGGAACAGGGGAGTTGAAGGCTGAGGGTTAATTTACTCAGGTTTTGCCTCTAATTGCTGAAGAGTGAAAATCTGCTCTGCTTTTCTGGGGGTGGTTGAATCCAACCAGAACTCAAATCAGAGGACAACAAATGCTTCTTGAAAATGGGAGTAGGAGAAAAGTTCTGATTCACCCAGAGCTGGGAAAAGGGACTTAAGGGAGATCTATGGTGATCAGCACTTCCTGAGTGAAGCCCCTGCCCTTGAGAAGATCAGATGGGATTTTTTGTTACACTGGGTTGAGGAATCCCAGCCACATGCCAGGTCTGGACACTGGAAGAAGATTTTGTGGCATGTTTTGTGTTAAATCATGAAATCTGTGTGGTTTTGTAACAAAAAAAAAATGTGTTTGATGATGTTTTGATCATCAGAACTTTTCTGTCATGAGAAGAAGCAGGAAGCTGAGCAGAAATGAAAACTCTGTCCTCAGTTGTGTGCCTTGCAGGGTCAGGAGAAATTCAAGGATTCACTTAATGCTTTTGTTATTAGTTAGAACATCTGTATGCTGGGAAAATGCTCTTAGAGTATTAATAAAATAACTACAATTTTTTGCCAAGAAATATTCAAAACCTTTTAAGCAAATACTGGAGAAAAGCATTTATTGGAAGAAGAAGGGATAAAAAAAGATTGATTCTGAAAAATGGGATTTCCAACCCCTCCCTCACTCATGGAGAAACCTGGAGTTGTGCTTCAGCAATAGAAAACCAAAAATGTGGCTCCAGTGCCACAAATCCCTAAACAAATGTGGCTTGAATAATAGATTGACTTGCTTAGGAGAGCCTTTCCCTAAGCAAACTTAGGGATCAATAACTAATTATTTGCAGGAATAGCCTTGTGAATTTCCTATCATAAATAGATCCAGGAAAACTCTCAGTTTCTCCAATCCATTTGTGAACAGAAAGAGGTAAAAGTAATTATTCTCTTAGCTCACATACTGATTTATCCTGGTTTTTTTCTCTGCTTGTTTTGATGGAACAGCTGCACTTAACCCATGGCCTTATTTATGCTGGGAAAAATGGGTCCTTTAACTGCAAACACATCACTTCAAAAGCTGAACCAGTTCCTCAGCTGCAGGTTTACAGTGTAGGTTCAAACTCCATTGATCTTTAGAACCTGAGTGTCCCTGGGTAAAGATTTGGACGCGACAGATGAATGAACTCCTGTCAGGCTGGGGTCTCGGGGTCTCTGCTCTGAGCAGGGGCTCTGCAGCTTGTTGACCTTTGCCTCCTGTGGAAGCCTTTCCTGCCACAGGGCTGCTGCTGTGGGTTCCTTCCCTCTGCCTGGCTGCTATTTCCATAAAACTACTCGGAGCTTCATTATCCTTGGGGCTTCTCTCCTCCAAAGTGATGCCCTCCCTCGAACTCCTGGGTCTGCTCAAGGTGTGGCCTTGGTACAGGAGAATGCACTGAAGCTTAAAGCATGTGACCACCAGTGATTGTAGGTGGTTTTTCCTTGCAGAGGACAGAATCTGTATCAGATATTTATATGTGTTTGTATTTGTTCTTTCCCCAAATTTAAATCTGCTCAAAGGGGCCAAGCAGATCATATATCCTGATGGGTCTCTGCAGCAGAGCTGCTGCTTATCTTATCTCAATAAAACCCCTCCAGAGCATCTCTTTCCAGCTCAGTGAGTTGCTGTGTAATCTCTTCAGTATTTGCTGTTGCTGCTGTACTGAAAGCAGGCCTGTGGAAGTCAGGTTGTCTGTGGAGAATGGGGATGTAGGAGCATGAGTGGGATAAACCATGGCCTGCCTCTGGAGCTGCTCTGATCAGCCCGAGGCTGACAAGGAGATGCCGTTCCTGCCTCATGTACGAGCCTTTCCTGGGCACCTCTGCTCTTCATTCACTGCTTTACAGTGTCTGCTCAGCCCTTTCATTTCTCCAGTGTCAGCCTCTGACTCCATCCCGATAACAATTCCTGCTCGGTCTCTTGTCAGCCATTTCTCTCCACGGTATTTTATTTTGCTCATTGACAGTGGCAGCTTTCTCTGGGGAAGTGAAATCCCTCCTTCCCTCCCCCTTCTCCCCTGGGCTCCTGTTAAATAACCTTGTGCACAGCCAAGCCAGAAATGGCTCTGGGAGAAAAAAGGCTGAAAGCTCCGATGTTGCCTGGGCACTAAAGCCAGGAGCAAATCCAGCAGGAATCCAGAGCTGGGAGGAGCATGAGGGCACTGGACCATGTGTCCTACGAGGACAGACTTGGAGGGTGCCAGAGCCTCAGAGCAGCTGTGGGGGTCTCCTCCTCTGGAGCTGCCCAAAGCCCCCCTGAGCTCCTTCCTGGGGTGACCCTGCTGCAGCACCGGGCTGGAGGTGATCTCAGAGCCTTCAGCCTGTGACCCTGGGATGGGCTCACCAGCTGGGCTCTGCTGTGGCCTCAGTTCACCCCCAGGGATTGAGGCAGTTCAATCTCATTGCAGAAAGAGCTGAAATTGTTCCCAACGCCTGATCCCATTGCTGGGTGGTGCTGGACCTGTTTTGGCTGTCTCCAAAGCACTGGCTCAAGTCAGCTCAGGAGGATTCTGTCTTGCTTCAGGTTTGTTTGATCATGGATACTTGGGTGAAAATTAGTCCAGATTAACTAATGGCAAGGATTGAAGGTGGATCACTTAAGCTACACTAGCATGGCTGCTCTTGGTGAGAACAAAAGTGGCCTTTAATTATTTACTTCAGAAATAAATGAAATACTTTCTAAAATAAAATGAAACCTGCTTCTAGCTGTGTCCACATAGGGGTTTAATCCAGTTTATCTATGCAAATCTTACTTGGATGAACTGCCTTGATCATCTACCTGTCAGCAAGTACTCTGAAAGCAAGGATATTTCAGAGAATGGGAGAACTCAGTCCATGGATCCTCAGTGTGTCACACTGTGCTTGTGCCAAGGTGCATTTCCCCGGGGGGGCCTGTGGGGTGTGACAGCTCTTGCCATCCATGACAGGAGTCAAAGTGGTCCTTTTTAGACATCCCTGTATCCCCTTAAGTCCTAAAGCCCCCCATCCCTGTCCCATCTTGGTTTCTTTGTCCAAGACCTCACAGTGGTGGATAAGCACCAATTTTCTTGTCTAGAAAAACTGGAGAAAGGAAAAAAAAACCAACCCCAATTTGTATAAGTACAGGGAAAAGTGAACACTGCTAATATTAGTGTTGGTTTTGTATTAATAATTCTCTGATAAAAGCCTGGGTTTTTTTCTTTCCCAGTCTAAAAATACTCCCCCAGCTTGGCAGCGTGTTGTGACTGTGATAATGAAAGCGCAGCAGCATGTGCCTGCCACAGCTCCTGCCCTTTCCTCCTGGGCTGGCAGAGCTCTGGGGTTGTCTGAGGGAAGGGAGGGCACACATTCTGAGGTGAAGGAAAGCTGGTCCTGACTCCTGCCTTCCAAAAGGCCACAGCCCAGGTATTATCTCAATTTCAGTGGAAGCCAGTGTATTATGGAAATGTTGAGTCCCTGAGCCAGGAGAGAGGTGGAGTACAAAATCAAAACAAGAATGTCACAAAATTTAAACAGAAACTGCTCCTTTTGAACTGGTTGAAGTTAAATATAGATTTTTAAATTTTTTTTTTAATATTTTTTTTAATCTCCAAGACTGTGGAACTCCCTGCCAGAAGTACTTGTGGAGCCAAAGGGACTCTGCATGTGTTTAGGTGATGAATGTGTGGTTTGATAGAGCCCTTGGCTGGGAGAGGCCCCTGTTGTTGTTACAGTTTAGCTGTTGTTCCTGGTGCTGCGCTGTACCTGTGCACCATGACAACTTGCACTCTGAGATGACATTAAAAGCAGAAACTGCAGCACAAGGCTGAGTGCCTGCCAGATGCTGGGGAACATCCTTCTGCTGGCTTATGGCAAGTCCTGTCCCTACCCAGGGTTTTTGGGGTGTAGCTCTGCCAGCTGAGCCCTGGGTGCCTGGAATGGCTGGGTGGGTTTGGGGTGAGCTCTTGCTGGGAGATCTCTTTGCTGGAAGCTTCAGCTGCTGGGAAGAGGACTCTGCTCTGCACTGAAGTGTGGTTCCTTCCCTCACCCTCTGTGTGTTGGGTTCTCCATGGTGACAGAACCCTTATACTCCTGTGCCAGACTGGACCAGAGAGTCCCGTCCTGTGGTGCCAAAGGGGAATCTAAGCTTTGAGTATTGAGCCATCCCCAGGTGTGGGAGTTTTAGGAAGCCCCTCTGTCATTGTTCTGCAAAGGGACAAAGGAGGGGACGAGGCAGATGCTCTGTGGGATGAAGGGACCTGCAGAGGGGTCAGTGGTGGCAGCCACCCATCCCCTCAGCTCTGAGCTTTTGCTTCCCCAGCCGAGCTGCAGCAGCCCCTGTCTGCACTCTGCAGAAGGTGCCTGCTACATTCCCAGCCCAGGATGGAGCCAGCACTGCTTCCTGAGGCAACCCCTGGCACTGGAGGAGGAGCCAGGGAATGGGAAGGATGGATCCACAGTGGTGTCAGCCCCAGGCCCTGCAGAGATGGGTGTGAAGAGCTCTGTCCTGTCCCCCAGAGGGTGCCTGGGGCTGCCATGGTGCTGAGCTAGACTGGGCTGGGGTGGATTGGGGCTGCATCAGCAGCTCCCCTGCTTTCTCTTCTTTTCCTGTTCCAAGAAATGAGGCTGTTCTGTTTTTATAAAGTCACTGTCTCATGGCACTGGAGAGCTGATGATCCTGTTGGCACCAGGCAGTCCACCCTGGGATATTTGTGCCCCCAGCAGCCTCCTGGTGGGAAACAGGAGTGGAAATGCCCTTCTAGAAACGAGCCACAGATCTTAAACCCACTCTGGCCCCAGAGGCTGTGGAGAATCAGTTTGGGAGGCAAAGGGTTTACTGTGGCTTGCAGAGGCCTTGGGAGAAATGTCCTTATCTTGCACATTTTCCTTGAGGTTTCAGTCTTGGATTTATCCCTCAAAGGAAGAGATTGCCTTTATTTCCCCAGGAGTCAGTCTCAGGAGGCTGCTCAGGACAAGAGGAGCCCAGAGGGGGGTGGCTGAGGGACTGGGGATTTTGCTGTGACCACAGCAGCCAGGCCAAAGGAAGCTTGAAAGGCCACAGGAAGATGATTTTGGCTGTTCCCAGTCTGGCTCCTGCTTCTTTCCACAAGGACATGGAGCTGCCTTCCAGGGTTTGGATCCTGGGAAATGTCCACAGTGTGTTTTCCTCTGCAGGAAACATCCAGCACTAACCTTGTCCTTGTCAGAGCAGGGCAGGAGGAGGAGTGGGACCAGCAGGGCAGTAACAGCTTTTTCTCGCAGCTAGAGCAGAAACACTCAGGAATTGGACTCTGAGGGTGGTCCCAGCATGGTCAGGGCTTATTAGTTTGGTGGCCTTGGGCCCTGTGACTCCTGTTCAGAGCTTTGGGTCTCAGTAATTTAGCTTTTCCCCTCTATTTGAGGGGTGTCCAGGGGCACATGGGTGCTTTCCAGGCACATCCCAGGACTTCTGCTGCAGAAAGGGGAATGTTGCCTCATCCCCTGACTGTAGTTCAGGGAAAACACTTGGATGAGTGTTAAAATGGGAGATGTTTTATGCACACTGGAGGGAATTCACAGAATTAGAGTGGGTAGAGAGAAAAAGAAAAGAACCTCCTCAGGCTTACTTGCTTTGACATTTCTATTCCTCAAGTGCAGAGTGCCCTCCTGAGATCAGGATGCTTCAGTGGGAGTCCTGCGAGTGTCCAAAAGCAAACCTGCAGGGTGGGAAAGGTCTGCCCCAGCTCCTGTCAGTGCTCCATCCTACTCTTCTGCCTGCTGAAATAAAGGGATAAATCTGATTTGTTTGTTCAGCTAGTGAATAGAGGCCCAAAATTGATTAGATGCTTAATTATCACTGAAGTTACTGGCTTGGTCACTGGTGTCATCTGAGCTGGGGAATTGGGCTTTGAGAGCTGTGGAGCCTGGGAAGGGTCTGCAGTGTGATCTGTTCCCCATCACTGTGCAAGGATAAACCAGGAGAGAATAAACCTGGAGTTTGAAGCCAGGAGAATGAGCTCAGTCACTTGTGGTAGGGTTCCCTGGGGACACTGATGACTATGGGGTCCCATTGTCACATCCCAGGTGATGTTTGACTCCCTAAGTCCACTGAGCTCAGCCTCTGGCTTTCCTTCAGTAAAATGGGGATGAATCCTGCTTCCCAAGGCCTGGGAATTAGATGGATTAGAAATCCATCTTCATGGCATCCCAGAGGGGTTTGGGTTGGAAGGGACCTTAAAGCTCATCCAGTTCCACCCCCCTGCCATGGACATCTTGCACTATCCCAGGCTGCTCCAACCTGCAATCATCCATTCCCCAATCCTTTAGGGAACCGTGTGTTTGACAGACAAATTTGTGTCCCTGGCATTAGCTGGGAGATTCTTTGAAGGTGCTGCTGGCCCAGGTTCACATTGCAGGAGCCATTCTCCACATAAACAAGGGATTCTGTGAGCTGGGTTTTACTGGTCGTTAGTAATTAGCCTGTGCTAATGAGGTCCTGATGGGGGAAAGGCCTCCCAGAGGTGAGGATACACCATCTCTAAGGCCCAGCTCAGGGATGCTCCAGCCATGGCACCGGGCAGGACATGGATGATCTGGATCTGAGTGTCTGTGTTGCACTCAGAAAGCCCCAGTATCTGTAGCGTGGTAAATGTAATTCCTTGTTCTCTTTCTTCCCTTTCATGATGAGGGGCTTTGCCAGAGCCACTGGTGTGTTTGTGGTGAGACACAAACCATCAGGGCTTCCTGCTGAGCTCTGAGGTGTTGAGCTCTTCTCTGCTTGGTCTGGCTGCACACTGGCATTGCTGCTCCTTGCTTGTCCTCCCTGCCCCATTGCTCATCCTCCCTGAATGGAGCTGAAAGGGAGCAGGAACAGGAACAGGGACAGGAGCAGGAACAGGAGCAGGAACAGGAACAGGGACAGGAGCAGGGACAGGAGCAGGGACAGGAGCAGGGACAGGAGCAGGAACAGGGACAGGAGCAGGAGCAGGGACAGGAGCAGGAGCAGGGACAGGAGCAGGAACAGGAACAGGGACAGGAGCAGGAGCAGGAGCAGGGACAGGAGCAGGGGCAGGAGCAGGAGCAGGGACAGGAGCAGGGGCAGGAGCAGGGAAAGGAGCAGGGACAGGAGCAGGGACAGGAGCAGAACAGGAACAGGAGCAGGAGCAGGGACAAGAGCAGGAGCAGGGACAGGAGCAGGGACAGGAGCAGGAGCAGGAACAGGAACAGGGACAGGAGCAGGGGCAGGAGCAGGAGCAGGAACAGGGACAGGAGCAGGAACAGGAACAGGGACAGGAGCAGGGACAAGAGCAGGAGCAGGGACAGGGACAGGAGCAGGAACAGGAACAGGGACAGGAGCAGGGACAAGAGCAGGAGCAGGGACAGGAGCAGGGACAGGAGCAGGAGCAGGAGCAGGGACAGGAGCAGGAGCAGGGACAGGAACAGGAGCAGGGACAGGAGCAGGGGCAGGAGCAGGGGCAGGGACAGGAGCAGGGACAGGAGCAGGGACAGGGACAGGAGCAGGGACAGGAGCAGGGGCAGGAGCAGGGACAGGAGCAGGGACAGGAACAGGAGCAGGGACAGGAGCAGGAGCAGGGGCAGGAGCAGGGACAGGAGCAGGGAGAGGAACAGGGACAGGAGCAGGAGCAGGGACAGGAGCAGGGACAGGAGCAGGGACACTCAGCTGCTGGAGCTCAGGTGGGGGCAGGATGTGATGGGGATGTGCAGGAGCAGAGGTAACATCTACAACACAAACCCACCAAAGGAAATTCCCGAGGTTGCAAAGTGAGGGACTCAAAGGTGAGGAATTGCCAGCAGAGGGATGATGGGGAGTCTTAATCTGCACCTTTGTGTCTAAACGTTATCGTGGTTTTTATCTGTGCAGTTCTACTGTCTTTTCCCAAAGCTCCCACCTCTTGTGGAGTGCTGGGTAGACCATGTTCACCTGCTCATCCCCCATTAAATATTCTTTTTTTCCCATGGTCTCATGTCTGTCCCTTTATTACTCAAATCCTGCTCTGGAAAAGAGTGTTTAACTTAGAGCCTTGTGGGCTTTTATGCCATCAATTGCTGCTTCACCAACAGCAAATAACCCCTCTGTCTCTAGGGAAGGAGCTTTTCCTTCTATTCCTGATGGCCTACCTGTCCCTCAAAACCTAATGTGAAAATCACTCTGTTAAATTGGACTAGATGAGCTTGGAGGGCTCCTTCCCACCTAAACCATACCACGATTCCCTGTTGCCCTGCAGATTCCAGACTGAAAGCCCTGAGGGAAACCTCCACTCCTTTCCATGAGAACAGCTCACTGTGGGTGGGGACACTGAGCCTGCCCTCATCCTTCACCTGAAAATCATCCCTGAGGTGCAGGAGAAAAGGTTGTGCACTGGGGATCTTGTTACAGTGCGTTTGTTTTGCTTTTGAACTTATTTTATTGATGAAGTATTTTATAAAGTGGTGGCACGTTAACATCGGCTCCTTTTCCAAGAGTCTTTCACGAGGAAAAGGTGAGGACGTTTAAGGCAGCCCCTCTTGCTCCCCTGCAGCAGCTGGTGGCTGCTCTGCAGGGTGTGAATGTGCCTTTTGTATTTGAGATTAGTTGGGAAGTTGCTGCATTATCAGTGAAATTCCACTTTCTCCATATCAGTGGGGTTTCTGGGCAGCACAGTGTGTTTCTGTGGTGGGATCCATCCCTCTGCTTTTCCTGTGCAGCCATCCCTCCCCAGCTGTCTTTGGCCATAGAAGATGAGGTAGATCCTGCTCCAGTTCCCACCCTTGTGGGGCTGGATCAAGTGAAAAAGGCTGACAAAGCTTGAGCTGGATTCAGAGAAAAGAAACTAAAGGCTTGAAACAAAAACGCCATGGGTGAGGTGATGCAGGTTCCCCTCAGAAAGCAACCAGAGGGAATGTGAAGAAAATGAAAAAGAAAGTATGGGAATAAATAAAAAGCAGGGATGGGGAGGAGGGGGCAAGGCAGATGTCTGCCCGTGCTCAGTGTGTTTGTGCTGCTGGCTGCCTGCCTGCCTGTCTGAAAACCTGGCTGTGTCTGGCACCTCTTTTTTTATTCTGATGTTTGAATTTATAGTTTGCAGTGCAGCAGAATGAGGTTCTCTGGAATATTACTGTGGATGGGATTGGCTGCCTGGGACGGTGAGGGTGGCTTTGGAGGAGGGAGGACTTGGTTTTCCAAGTTTAATGTGGGCTGCTGTTTTCTCCTTCATCCTCTGCCTTCCTGCTGCATTTCCGTGTGTGTTTGCCTTACTTCTGTTTGACCCTGGTGGGTCGGGAGCAGCTTCTCCCTGGGACTATCCTGAGTGCATCCCACTGGGGTGTTCACTGTAGTCTGGGGGTGGAGGGGAAGCAGAGCTGCTGTGAAGTGCTGAGGTGCAGAGCAGAGCCAGAATCCATCAAAACCACTGCTCTGCTAGGATGACACGGATCACCCACACTTCCTCCCTGGGAACGTGCCAGGAGACTTGTTCTCAGTGAAGGTTTCCAGGTCTCCAGGCTTCAAAAGTTCACAGAGTCTGAATAATGCATGAAGTTCTGGAGTCAAATACTCTTCTCCAGCATCTTTTAAAAATGGATGAACGCATTTTTACTTGAAAACCTCCCACTTTGTGTAACCTGTTTCTCCTTTCTCACCTGTCACACCTACAATCCTTGCATCCTTCTAAATGTACAGCCCCATCAGGGGCAGATCTGCACAAGGATCTCATTCTTCCCTGCTGCCTTTGGTATTTAGAAATCCAGCTTTCCTTGTTCAGAAAGGTGGAAGCCTCCTGACTGCATCTGCCTGTAATTAATGAATTCAGACACTCTATACATGATGTTTCTGGGGGGATCCATCTTCCTCTTCCCCTTGTGAGGGAATCAGAGCAGTGAAGCTCTGCCCCTGTGATGCTGGGCAGGGCCTGGAGGAGGCTTTGTGGGGCAGGGAGACCTTTCCAGACAGATCCTGGAGGAGCCTGTCCTGCAGTTTGACCATAAAACACAGACACAGTCTGGACTCAAGGTGTCTCTTTGAGGCTCATGACTTTCCTTGGCCCATTGGGAAGGATCTGGAAGGATTAAGATGCACAGGATGGAGTTGTGGCAGCTTTAATTTCCCTGTGAAATGAACCAACCTCCCCCTTTTTCCAGGACAGCCCATTCCCTACTCCAGGAATGCTTTCTGCAGGTCACACCTTTGGTTTGGACTCTGCTGCCTCTTGAATGAATGACTTTAGGTGTGGGGGTGTAGTTTGGTCACTCCACAGGACACAGGCTCTGTGTGTGCTCAGCAGCCCTGCTGGAGCCTGCAGCCCCCAGGTTTAATCAGGCAGTGGGCGATCCCTTTGTCAGGATACCACAGCCCTTCCTAACACCCCTGGCTTCTCCCACTGCCCCTGAGCACCCAAATGGCACAGGATTAACAAAAATCCTCCAGGAAAGGTTGACGAAATGATGGCAGAGGGGCAGGGGAGCGGTGTTGTGACAGTTCCTGATGCAGAGCTGCCTCAAAGCTTTTGCAGAGGCAAAGGCAGGACCCTGCCCCCTCATCTCTTCCCGAGGGAGGAGAGGGAGGAGGCTGGGCAGCCCTGGAGCAGGGAGCTTGTTCCTGCTGTCCCCGGGAAGGATGAGAGGAGTATGAAGGATTGCTTTTCCCATCCATTTTGGTTGCTGCTGTTGGCCCCACATCACAAATTCTCCTTTAGGAGTGGCAGGTGTGGTTCTCCCAGGCTGTGCCTGGACAGGATCCTTGCCCTCGGTGCCAGCTCTCTGGAGGGGATGGCAGGCAGCTCCTGCACCAGGAATGTAAATCCAGGGGATTTGTGTGACCTCCCACATCCCTCCCCCGCTCCTGTGATGCTGCCAAACTTCTGTCAAGCCCTGCTGGAGAGGGGCACTCAGCAGCTCCCAGGTTGGAGGGATTTGGGGCAGAGTCACCTCTGTCCCCCTGCCCTGCCTGGCCCCTCAGACCCTGGGTGATGGAAAGGTGAGAACACAAATGTCAGCTTGGCTTTGGGAAAGGAGAATGGGAACGGGAAGGGAGGCTCAGCCGCGGGATGTATTTGCCCAAGCCTTGCTCTGGCAGGTGCTGGGCTCGGAGCTTGTGCTGGGGGCTCTTCTGGCTCTGTGAGCTCATGATGGATCTTAGCAGGGCATCCGTGCACCAGTTGGAGGGAAGAAGGAAGGACTGAGCATCTTCCTGCCTTTTCCAGCATCAGGTG